CTTGATGAGGCTGTAACTCGGATTCCATTTTAGTCAATGAAGCTAATCAGTGGTTAGTTTCGTGAGCTTGATAATCTAATGAAACCACTTGTAATAAAATATCTTGTCACCGGTGTGAGGGAATTACATAGGTCAAACTAGTAAATTGTGGTCTTTTAAGTGATTGAAACATAGGAATTTAGCTAGATGTGGAATGACTGAGCCCAACAGTTTGAGTAGGCTAGAATATGGCGTGGTCATTGCAATGGATTTGCCTGCAGGTTGTTTTCACGAATTGTGGTCGCTACCCCCACACCCAACCTTCTCTCTTTTTCTGGGTTTAATAACAGCCTTCTCTACTGTAGTGGAAGTAAATAAAGGAAATAGTAACAGCTCTTTCTTAAGCAGAACCACAACATGATTATAAATCATTAGGCACATTGAGGTCGGAAGTTGGCCCACAGTTAAATAAATTATCCAGTGGGATTATTTTTTCATATCCGCAACATGGAATAAAGCCAGATTTGCGAGATAAGCACTTCTACCTCTTCAGCCATTCATTTAAAATATTGTCTACACTTATGACCGCTTCTTGTCAATCTGCATCATGCCATACTACCGTCTATTTGAGGTATATTGGTGGTGGGTCAGCCGAAAATCGGAACCAGTCGTCTAATTTGCCTAGAGCGTACTGTTTGGAACCTCTGTATGGAAGGGAGTGATTAACATTTCACATTGCTCTCAAAGTAATCGACAGTTGGAGTTAACATTTATCTTAGATCATGCGTATTAGCGGAGTGAATAATAATAAGTGGGAGTTGTTGATGTGCAATTCTGAGGGGTCACCAATCAAGGGAAAACAATTGTTAATTGCTGACTGGTTTTTACTAATTGTCTATCTTATGTATGCTTGTGACTACAGGTGCTCTTATTCATCTCCTGCTTTGGTTTTGTTGTTTAAACACTGAATTTGATTATTTGCTTATTTTTAACCGAAATGTCCGTTTTATTTTAATGTCACTTATCTTGTCACCTGACGCTTCCGTGACGTCTACAGTTTAACATGATGTCATTTAGGGTTGATGATGACTAACAATTAAATACTGTCGTTTTGTCTGTAGATTGTGTCATTGGAGGTGAATTGCATATTGAGAGTGCACCTCAGTAACATTTTTCTCAGACATGTTGTTGCTTTTCCATTGTTGAACTGGTTGTCACCTTTTGTTTACATTAAAACCAAACACTTTCTGTTAGTGAGATATTTGTGAACAGTGATTCATTGTGGAGAGATAGCATAATTTTGTTAGTATCATCCATATCTTTTATGCAATCTACAAAGTGCGAAGTATCACGAATCGAATGTATGCATGTTTCCTTACCAATTTCAGAGTACCATTATAGGATTTCTAAATTTTTGAAACTCCTACATAGTTCCATATTTTCCTTCGTTCCTGTATGCATCCAAATGACAAGCTTCAGAAAATTAACCTTCATGTTGACCTCAGCAATACTTATCATTCCATTTCAACAAAGGCCTCCTTCAAAGTGATCTACAAGGTGAAGAACAATCTACTAATGGCAATGCAATTTCGTCTTCTCGGGCCATTCACAAAGAGAAACCGGAGCTGTGCATGCAAAGGAGAATTACTCAACCACTTTTACTGTCATAGTCACAACTTCGATTATTTTCGATGGCTTAATTTTGTTTACTTGCCCGGTACTTTAATTGCTTACAATTCTTGTATTCATTTGGAACTCTTATGTAATTTTGTATTCTCTACATTTATTTCTATATGCGTTCTGAGTACAACTCAATCAACAAACTATTCGCATCATTACGCAACTCCTTTTCATTAACCACTTGTGACAATTCATAACCTTTGTTACGAAACTAGTTTCATCGACATCCAACTTTCTTGACCGCTTTTGTTTGCCATAACTCCACCTAAAACGTACTAACTATCACCTGTTTAAGTATCGGTTTTGTAGAGGTTCTGTTTGATTGGTTGATGGATCTCGTCATGATCTGATATCAGTTGGAGAAACACGGGAAACCTGGGAGTACTGGACAGCTGTTTCGTCAGCCTGGTTTGGGACTCTACATCAGTACACATCCACCGGTTTTTGATGCTCAATAGTAGGAAGCTGTACCCACCCAAGTACAGCAGGTTGAAGGTGAGGCAGTAACTCATCGAATAAAACATTGCGAAGTGGTCGAACTCTGTCAAGATTTGGCAGAGGTTAGAATTCATGGACTAGCTATTGGATTGGGTGGGTCACAGTGGCCGAATGGTCTACGAGTTGGCCAAATGAAGAAGAGCCCCAGCCTAGGCTGAAAAAACAGCTATCCAGTACTCCTTGACTGGTTTTCCACTCGTTATCCAAATGACATCAGCTCATGATGAAATCCTCCATCCAATCTCACCTGTTTATTTTAAATAACCATGATGAATTACATTTTCTTCGACAAATTTATTGTACAGATACATACACATTAACTCTCAAATATATATATATATATATTTGCGATTGTACAACTGAGAAAATGAATTAGCCGAAAACTGACTCTTCTCTGAATTACGTGTTTTCATTGATTTTCAAACGTTCGAGATGAACTGGACAATATCAACTCTCTGATTTCTGAACAATCATTTATATCTAAATCATTATTCATAACCACATATCAGATATTTGTGAACAGATGCACGTAGTAGGATTTATCGGATTGTTTTCATGAATTCAATGACTGTTGTGTTAGCTTGTCTTGATTTAAACATAGCCGAAATGCAGTAAGGGAAACAATATCTTTCAGCCTGGATGGAATGATGAAATGACTTCCACACATCCATTGTCCTATTTTCCAGTGTTCAGACTTATTTCTCCTCAAACAAGTGAGTAGAAGAGGACTATATGCTGCCACTAAGGCTAAACGTTACCCCATTACAGTCAATTCTGGCAATTTTTCCACGAAATTTCGTTTTCAAATCACTCCTTGTGAATGTGACGGAACAGGTATCTCACTGTGTATTCAATAATCCCATCAATTCTCCCTTCATAATCATCTGCCCTGATAAATAACACTTTCCATGGATTGTAAAATCACCCACAGTTCTATTCTATTTTACATCTCCGGACTAAGGCTTAGACTTGTGCGTAAATGTACAATTTTAACAAAGATTTTACACATGCATGCTTGTAAAATAATCAGGATAGGTTTAGGCATTACTGTAAAAACCAGAGAGAACTAATATTTCTGTTGTGTGCATGTTTATTAACGAAAGCCCTATGACAGAGCTGAGTTTATTCCAGCGTTTTCGAAAGCTTGTTCTGTTGCACTTTATAAAAACATTTAGAAATATCAGGAGAATATGATTTAACGTAATGAAAATAAAGTGTCAGTGGGAAAATATTGATTACGCTGAGGGAAGGATACATCTCTGTTGACTGTCCAACAAATGACGTAATCTGAGTAGAATTGTTTTTCTCACAACCATGTTTCAAAGTTTAAATTGAGTCTTTGAGACCAGTGCGCAGACACAGATATGGTGATGACTGTCGTACTTTGATCTTAGTAGAAATTCCTTTGATGTATTCGCATTACTCAAATTTTGTAGCGTTTTCATTCAACCTTACACTTTGCATAGTGTTTCATCAGAATTTAATTAATATAAACATATATGTTATAAACATTTTCGCACTCAGTCAACGAACTTAGTCAATTCTACTACTGTACACTGAAGCTGTGAGTTTACTAGCATCATTTATCATTATAACTTCTATGAGTCTTTGTATTCGAATATGTTGAAGAGACTGTTTGAAATAGTGTTTGATGACAATGGAATGTGTGATAACTGAAGATTGAATTGAAACAGTATTCTAAATAATTTTCAACAAAAAGCCTTCGAACCAGTAAAACAAATTAGAATTTCCGACTGTGTATAACGGAAGTGAATTTAAGCAAAATTTGCACTCAAATTATGCATCACGTTTTGTAATATCACTTAGTAAATATCACTTTATGCTGTTCCTTGGATAACGTATCAGTTAAGACAAATTCCGACACTTCAGAAGATTATATACTCCTTACGCATTATCACCGACATTACTATGATTGACTTTTGTGTGTAATACTAGGAAGCACATCAATATACACAGTCGATTATCCGGAACTCACTACATCCATTGTTTCCACAAATCGTCGAATAAGTCATAAAACACGCTTCCCCTGTCTCCATGTCTTCTACTATTAGATCACAGATTTGAGTATAATGTGTTTCTTTCAACCTGTTATCGACAATGGAATCTAGATAGATATTTATTTTTTATACGCTGGCAGCAAGTTATCGTAGTATCAGTTGAAATTGTCACTATCGCAGTAGATTAATTTTAAGAAGCTACATAGACTCAAAACATCATTTGACAATGAGGCAACAAATTATGCCTCACTTTTTCGTTGTGTCGATATGACACTTGCAATTGTACATTGCTATTATATTGTGAGTTTGCAGATATCAAAAAATGACATTCAGTTAAAATATGGACTCAAGTAAGGCACGAAATACAGAACATTCACTCATTTTTTGAATAATACAATTTATTCTCTTTTAGTCTACCTGCAGTAGATGTAATGCATAAATTTATACGTGAATGTGAATACGAAATGCTATTTTGAAAATATTCAGACTGATGGAAATTAACATAAATATAAAAATGCTAAATATGCCTAATTCATTCACATAACTTTCACGCTAGACTAGCAGTAATTATTGTGTATTACCACCGAATATTAACATCGTATTGACAACAGAAATCACGCTTTGCATCATTAGCATTTTGGCCCTCTAATAGTCTTTCAAAGAAAAATTCACAAACATTCTTCCGAATTAGGTCTTCGGACAGCCTGTCTTACTTAAACGATTTTTATTAATTTTTCAGAGACAAAAGTGACCACCTAATATTTGATGACTGGTGTTTATAGACTGCAGAAAAATACGAATTTTGGAAGCACTTCGATCTCAACAATGATGACAAATACTACAAACAAGGCAGACGGCATTAGCTTTTGGTAAGTAATATACAATTCATAATAACCATGTCGCCCTTTAGGTTGAGGATAGGATTGTTCGCTGTTCTGTGAGTTTCTTAGTACACACACTGATGGATGTTGCCAGTACAGTGTGACAATTTTTCCAAATCTGTTTCTGTTATTATCCTTCCATTTCACAACTATTCATCGTGGATATGTACATGACACTGATTGCGTGACACATGATGCCAAGCCACTCACTTACAAGCGATTATCAGTGAATGATAAACTGAACACATTCGCTCCTCTCTTTATTTAGGGAATGGCTTGGAAACATGCCTTACACTCTCAGTCAGAATAAGACGTCTAGATTACTATGACATTCGTTTCATTTTGTTTTAGAATATGCGGAATCTGTTTGTATGCTGCTTTACGGCTGATTAAGAAGGCGAGAACATCTTATCCTCTCAACTACATTTTACTGATATTAGTGGTAAGTTGAAATGTGTGTGGACAAATTTATGGGACACTTGTGTACAACCTTTGAATGTAATATACTTCATACCATGCATATTTTTATGTTTCTGAATCGCTGTGCTTCGGTGACATTGACCAGAGATATTTCAGTCTTGTTTTGAAGAATTCGTAGTGAAATATTTTTCAGAAATCGCAGAAATCTATAACCTTCTGCACTGTATCTTTCACTACACATTATTTGACGATTTTACTTTCAACTGATGAAATATGTTTCTTGTGGCACCTGCACAAACTAAAGATTACATGAACATCCTGTGAGAGAATTTCTTCAATGTGACAAGTTTTCTGACCAAGTACTAATTTTTACAATAGAATTCAGAAGCATCACTACTCAAAGGAAGGTTGCAGTTGTTTAAACATTATTAATTTTGAATTACCTAGATGTACCTAGATGTCTCTTGCTAAATAAGCTCTCCATGACACAAACCGAGTCCTGGGTCACTAACTGGTTGCATTCCTACTTTTCAAACAGAATGCAGTACACCGTATACAAAGGCCAATCCTCCTCTGATGTGTTCACTGAAGCTGGTGTCCCCCAAGGTGCTGTACTCTCCCTACTTCTCTTTTCATTCTTCCTACATGACCTACAATCTTCAAATGACATTAACTTTGTCAAATATGCTGATGACCTAACTGTATCTTTACCTGTCAAATGTCAAAGTGACTGCTCTAAACTAAATGGCTTCTTATCAGAAATTAGCCAATGGTCCAAGGAAAACTGTCTCCCCTTAAACCCCTCCAAATGCCAAACAGTTAATTTCACCTTTAGGCATAAATCTGACCTAAACAAACTGGTTAGCACTCACGAGATGTGCAACATAGATGGCACTGAAATTGAAACCAAGTCGGAAATTAAATACCTAGGCGTCACTCTATCTTCTGATCTTTCCTGGTCGTCTCATATCTTGACGATTTCCAAGAAAATAATCCGTCTTACCTTCTACATCAAGAAGTTAAGACATTCTGGTGTAACCCAATCCTTACACTCCTACAATTTGTTAACTTCCGTATTCTGCCTATTATTCTCTATTGTTCCCCCTTAGTCTTTCCTGGGCTATTGAAGAAAGACTATACCTTATTACGTAGGATGTTAAAGGTTGTCAGCAGGGTAAGCAGTTTGCCACTTAGCCAGCTTGTTAATATTCTGGTGGACAGGCACATGGACTCATGTGAAAAATGGGCGAAATCCATTTTATCTGACTCACAACACCCTCTTCATTCACAACTCTCCCCATGTATCTCTTCAGGGAAAACCAGAAGCCTATATAGGAAACTATATGCCCGCACTAGTAAGTACAAAAACTCATCCATACCCTACCTAGCCCGTGTTCTGTGCGATAAAGAATGCATCAGGCGTGAAACCTTTAACTTATTAAATAGTCAGTAGAACCAATGGATCTCGTCTTTCCAACTCACATCATTTATAGGTACAACGTTTTCTCTCTCTTCATTCTGTATTTATTTTTGTTATGCGCTGCTTTGTTTCTCTCTTCCTTGCAAACTCTACTTAAAACATTCCTGTTCGTTCTTTCACACTCTGTATATCTCGACCATTTTGCTATCGCTTACGCCAGTAAATATGCTAGTAGTATCTACTTTTCTAACGCCTTCAAACACTTTAAATTTTGGCTTTGCTACCGACATACTAATATGTTGTTGTCAAAACTGACTGAGATAACTTTAATCTATGTAGAACTATATTTATTGTTAATGTACCAACTGGATGCAATATTGTAGTAAAATGTTGAGAATTCCAGTCTGTATCACAAGTACTGATTTGGAATAAAGCTTATCTTATCTTGATTAATGTAATCAGTGTTCACAGACATGCCTTCTGAGTTGAATATTATTGGAAGTGTTCTATATATTTATATATATTTATGACTTCATAATGAATCATCTCACGTTTAGAGCTTTATTATTGGCTGACGGACAAGGAATTATCTCGTTCACGTTCACTTTGTAAACTTAGTCAAAGAAAACGGGTGTTTGGAATTTGTGCGGTGTTAAAATGTTATCTCTTTAAAGTATGTACTTAACGATAATTCCGATATTGTGAGGCTTCATTCTCAATAAAGCACCTCTCTCAACAAGAAATAAACAACACAAATAAATCCTGAATTCTGAACTATCCGGTGATTACCTCATATTAGGCATAAAAATCTATTTATTTATTTTTTTGATTATAGCTTGATTCCACACTGTATTTTTGGTACAAGTACGGCATTTTCAGCATGTGATATCGGTAGCCCTGAATTCCACAAGCTTAACATTGATATCAGGTGTGCGTCGGCAGGATATCAAACTAAGGACCATGTGCCTGGTTGGCGAGCGTTCTAACTGCTGAGCCACCGACGCTTAAAACAGTCAGACGTGAAATATTTGACAGAAACGCAATATGCTCCTTTGTATAAGAGATGTACTCAATAATTAAACAAGATTGTTATAATCGCTATTCGAATTTCTATTTCACAAACATTCATCATAAAGATATGAAATTGACGGTGTGTGACAAGGTGCCAACCACTCACTTGGGTACGGTAATTATTGGCTGATAATCTGAATACATTCAAAGAAAATTGTTATAAACGCTACTTAAGGTTTGTCTGGAATTTTGTTCTCCCAATGCATTTTCCATCACGACTAGATATCAGTCAGAGAATCACTCAATAGCACAGACAACTGAACAGCTATTTTGTTTTGTAATCTACAGTGGTGCATTTTCGTTTATGAAAGTTATCTGTCTGATATCATTTCGTCAACAACTCAACACAGGTGTCAGTCAAGAATACACAGTTGTTTCACTTGAGTAATCTACTGACCAAAAATAAATTTGGAATTTATCAGTTGATGGTGACTAGCAGTGTATCAAAAACATGTGTCGTCATACTCGGAACTCGTTCGAGTCTGATACGGTGTGCACTGATTCCAGCCTCGAAAGGAACACAATCACCCGCTGCGGAATGCAGGTTTATTCAGATGACGAGTACGAGATAAGTCAGAATGTGCATCCTAGATTCCACTGCTAGTCACCACCCACCGATTGGCTTCAAGTTACATGACAAGACATCGTTGAAGCATCAGAACAGGGAGCCGACATGTTAACCTGAGGACAAGCCACTCAGCCCCATCGGTCTACGGGAAAGTTTTAATTGTATATAATGTACGAAACTGAATTTGTCACCTGTAAAGGACTAATTTTTGTTCATTTAGCAGCGCTTACTCTAGAATCACCTGTAAACTGGATTTGAATTTGTATATTGTTTAGGAGATATCCTGGTTCCTAATCTTTTTGTAAAATGAGAAATATAAATTTCCCTTTCAAATTACTTCTATTTATTCCCTCAGGTTATCCTTATTTGTGTGGGTATGGCGTTCTGCTATACCAGCCAGTTTGGTCTTAGTGTCTCAGTCGCTGTAACTTTTGTGGTCTCGTTCATAACAATATCAACATGTTGGAAATTGAACAGTCTGACAATCAATGGCTTAATCGTATTCATTTCACTGGCGTGTGTCCTTTGTGTTGTTGGATTAACTCTGCTTATTCTTGAGATTATATTGCATACACATCAGGTAAGATTATTCATAACCAGCGTTGCGAATAGCCTTCGTATCAGGGTGGTTTTCTTAATTTCTATATATCTCATATTATGTAATCCGAGATATAAAACGAGTATATTTCTGATAACCACAAATACGAGAATGCCGGTTGTGGAAATTGGCCTGTTTCAGGTTGTCTGTGGAAGTATTCACTTGAAGTCATAGCATTCTGATACCTACTAGGAATATGTTGATGTCACACTATAAATGAAAGTATTTATGCAACATTTCCATACTTGAATATTTCTCCTACTTCGTAACCAGCAACAGATGCTTGTTAGCCTTTGGCCATCTGAAACTATTATGAACAACTTCATGAATGGCTGTAGATAAAATAGTGTTTATTTCTACGGTTCGCCATAGGCGAGAAGTAGGCCAGACTTCTTCAACCAACATAGCTTGACTTACCATCCTGGAAATGACATCGCAAATCGAAAATATGTTATATTCCACGAGGAAATAATCTAGTCGTACGCATTCAGTGACATCTAGTAATTTGCGTAAATCAAAGATGGATATATTTCGAGGAGGTAAAGTGTGCAATAATAGCTGCAGAGCTTTTTATTTTCTATAGATACCTTCAAATAGACCGGTCAATAATACGTAGGTATACGTCATACTTCAGAATGAGATCAGTGGAAAAGGCATTGAATAAGTGAAAACAGAGTTTAGAGCAGAGGGGTGAATACAGGCTTCTCATTTGTAAACTGAACAACCAGAATTTATTTACGAATGACATGATGGAGAATTCACGGAAAGTGAGTGAGATTGAAACTGTTTATCAAGTTAATGTGATATTGTTGTGTGAACACGTAGACAGTTTTTTAATTGAAAACAATGGCTACTGAAAAATGAGATAAGTAGGGTTTACATCGTGTAATTGTTATTTCCAAAGTTTGACTGATTTCGTCTTTATAAATCACGTCACTCAAACGTCCAGCAATCGTACTTGCTAATACTCTCATGTATTCATGCAAAAACTGTTACGGATATACATAGACGTTCTCCTCTTAGTTATCCTTATCAAGATACCACCAAAATTACAACTGATTTAGTAAATGCAGTTGCAATTGACAAGATCGACATACCTATCTAGTTTTATCTGTATCATTGAGCATTCCGTGATTTGAAGTTGATTCAACCCAGCAGAAAGGCGTGTCATTTTCAACATAAATTTGTCTCCGTTTTTTCGATTCTTGCTTACGCATCACCCTCACCGTGCACAGAGCAATTTGAAACCGGATTCATTCCAAACATCTCGCTATGTTCTTCAACAGTTGAGTTCATTTGCTCTCACATTTTCTAGGATCTATGTGGAATGTTCTTTCCACATTAGATTAATATTTATAATCGCTAAATAATAAACTCACTATCTGAACATAAAATGCTCGCCCTGTTGAACATAGCTGAGACAAGACTCCGGCTGGAAACAATGGAAGGAAACTGTGGTAAAGTGACTTTCAAACCGTTGAAGTTTCTGTACAGTAGGTGTTTAGTTCAATTATCTCATCATTTACTTGGTCTTTACTAATATTTCAAATATTGAACCGTTGAATTCACAACAAATTAGAAATTACATTAGTTGACTCAAACATCACTGACATATGGTCGATGGTAGAGCAAGAGGCAGATTCATCATACCGTAATTGCAGTCATTTGTCGTGTTCTATAATTCTGAAGACAATGATGAATATTCTGGAATGGCCGTGAATACTAGGTGATAAAAATGTTCTCTGTTTCTTTTGTGGCTTCACAATCTTCACGAAACTTCGACTTTTACCCGCTGAGCAATTAATAACTATCTCCTGCTACTACATTGGGTTCTTCACTCTACTCGAAATTAATATAGACTATCTAAGTGGTAAGATTTTTGAGGTACATATTAATTATCGGTGGGTCAGGATTAACCAATATCAAATATCCAGACGTTGGCCTTCATTCATAGGAAATTCTATCAGTTAGCTTGACAATATGATTGCCAAGTCATGACACCTGCTATCATGAAGCTCTCTCAAATGATGTTAGATGACTGAAAGCAATATATAAGAAGCTCTGGATTCAAGCAAAACACTAGACATCACTCTGTGTTACATCTCACGACGAGAACGAAACACAGTAACCTGATTTTGTGATATGACACTATGATGAGAAAGCAAAGACAATCATCCCACAATTTTCATATACAGGAGGAATCATTCACATACCCTTCATCTCCCTCGATATATTCAAAAAGACATTGACATACCATTACGATTTCACGTACTACTATATCTCAGTTTCACACAATTATAATGGCTCGAGAATTCCATCCAACTATTATTCATGTCTTAACAGAGTAAGTAATTAAATGCGTAAGTTCGAAAAGATAACCCTGTGATATTAGGTGAATAAAATGATGTTAGATGACGGAGAGCAATATGTAGGAAGCCATGATTTCAAGCACAACATTAGACTTTGTCTTCTCTTACATGTCAGAACGAGAGCGAAACACAGTAAACTAATTTTTGTGGTTTCAATCTGTGAGAAGAGAGTAAACACATTCATCTCGCCTTCTTTATTCAGAAGGAGACATCCACGTACCGTTCATCTCGTCTGTTACTTTCAAAAATTCATTTACATACTATTAGGATTTCGCGTTCTAATATGTCTCAGTATCACGCAATTGTAATGGCTCGAGAATTCCATCATACAAATATTCATGTCTCAACAGAGTGACTAGGTTATGTGAAGCGAAAGGCGTAGGTTCTAAAGTATAACCCTGCGATATTAGGTGAAGAACGTACTCGTCTTTCCTGACCTCCTTATCATGTGGAAGTAATTGTTGAGCATGCGAGTTCAGTTGAATTAAATCCACTTTGCACTTTGCTCTATGAAGCAAAATCACCTGTTCAATTCATTCGTCGAACACTACTCAACAATTCCAATCACCCTTCCGAAATCCATACTTTTTCTACTCATTTCAGACGTTACTGGCGACTCTCTCAGGTATTATTTTGTGCTGGGCAGCAACAGCGGTAAGTTTCAAAACCATAGTTTCAGTCGTAAATATTTTGCATTCATTGGAATGTTGATCATGTTGTTGTCTGCGAAGGTTAATTCCGTTTGATTTCGAATTCAGTGTTGCTTAACTGAAGTCATGTTTTTCACTTATGAAACAAATCAAAGCATTCATACATTCTGTGATGGGTAACTTCCTAAGATCACTAAGTCACAGCTCTTAGCTAGTTCGAATGAGATGAACAACCACAACTAAAAATGTGTAATTCACCCGAACGTTCTAATATTAACTTCACTATTAATACCGAAAAATTCACATTAATAATGTGAATCTTTTCATGTGCATATTGTAGAACGCTATTGTTTTAGATTTTCTCTTACGTCTCCCACTAATTAAATACACAGAAAATTCCTGTGACACTTAGATCACTTCAAGTTGGTAGGATGAACGATAAGTTATCTAGAGGGATCTGTATTTTGCATTATTCCGCTATTACTGCTGACAGTTATACACACTTATCGACTAGTATTTTTATTATTGATATATTGCCTTGCAAAAGGAACATCGAGTCTCAGCAGTACATCTTCATTCTAACTCGCCTTCTGTTATTCCCAACAGATTACTAAATGTCGACCTACAAGCTTCCCAGTTTCCGCTGTATCATCTTTGGATAATGAAACTGTCGCATCCTGTTCACGTTCTAATCAACGTCCTGCTTAGTACGACAGAATTTCCATTTCATCAACATTCTCATCGGTAAACTTCTTGACTACTGATAAGCTTTCACAGTTTCTTTTTGCTCAAACTTCCCAGTTTGCCAATTGACATCCACTGTCGAACTTTCAGAAGCATCTTTTCATCACATTTTGAAATCAGTTCCAAATGACCTTGGTGAACCAAATCTCTGATTGAACGGAATCACTCACAACAAGTGAACAACTGGAGTGTTTTTCAGTCTTCTTAGGCGCTGAACAACTGCACACTGATTTGAGAGTAACGCTTGCTTCAACCGACTAAATTCTGTATTCTGGTTTTCACAGAATCATCTGTTCTGATACTACCAAGTCATATAAGTGAAGGAGTGAAATATATCTTAATTCCTCACACTCATGAAAGAGGGCATTTCTTACTGTATTCTGAGGATTTTGATCAACCGTTCAGTATATATCTATGTTAGCTTGAAAATCTACTTTTACTACTTATTCCCTGCATTTCTTAGTCTCCACTTGTATAAATGTAGACTGTGTGAAACAAGTATTCAGCGAAATGCAGGTATTAGGAGATATTTTGTCAGTGTTTCATATGCATATCACCACTCATTGCATGGTCACGTAAACAAAAGTTGGGGAGATTGTCACTTGCAGCAAGTCTGAAAAGACCAAAGGCCTAAATGAGGTTTCCATTGTGAATCACTTGAATCAGCTTGTGAATTATTTGTAGAACTGCACTTCACAGTGCAAGGAATTCGCTTGATGCTCTTGGGCTTGATTTTAAATGTCAGAAGTAAGAGAAACGGAGATGACTACATTTCTGTTGTCTTCTTGTTGATAATTCGTCACGGTGTGATTGGATCCACAATTGCATTGGTTCCCCTAATCCATTCTGTTCTTTTCCAGGAATTCTAGCTGGAGTGATATTTAATCTTTTCGAAGTGATGCAGCTCACTTTATTGTTTAAAGAGGACTGGAACATGGTTACACGCCAGTTTTTGCTTGTGTTAAGAAACCATTTTTTTCGATTCAACATAGTTCTTTGCATTACCTCACAACTTCTTCAGTGTTGACGCGCTCATATATGTTCAGATTTCTGGACCTGTTCACAGTGTCAGCGAGGATTTCCGCCTGGTCACGCTTTTACCTGCTTTTAGAAATTTTGCTATCTCTGAAACTCCTAATTGCTTCAGTAGGTTCCTTTTCCTGATACTTGTGAATTTTTACTTGTAGCAGTTAAAGTTAAATACAATTTGTCAATTGAAGTGATTCAAAAGTGTTACTTTTATCTCACCTGCCTCACAATTTGGTTTCATCCATCATCTTCCGCTGGTTCATATCCGCTTAACTCATCCGAGATACTTGACAGATTGTTTCATATGGTGTTTTGAGAAACCTTTGTCAGAGTCGACAGCCTCTTGTAGAAGCTTCGTTTACTTTCCTTAGAAGCTTTCTTTGCCGCCACTGTTCGGCGCCTTTTATGTTATAATCCGCCTAAGGTTTACAATTCTTCCACACGGGTTTCATCGGTTCTGTTGCTTAATAATCCTGACACGTTCATTTTTATATGGCGGCATGATGCTGACCAATACCGCCGATTTCGTTTCCTCAATTCGAAGATATCAGGTTCATTTGTATTTCCCGTGTTTTATCTTTCAGATTTTGATCTGTGTGGTGTGTGGACTGAGAAAACGCCTGCAAGAAGCGTCATCTTTCTTCAAGAAGATGTTGGAACTTCTGAATGTATTCGTTGCGGTCATACTGATCTTTGGGGCCATAAATATTTGCTTTCTTCCAGAATACAAGAAAGAAAATATGCATAGTGTACACTTTGGTTTCTTGTAAAATCGTAATTCAAGTAATATAATTACGTCAAATTTGCATTTCGACCAGTACTTCATTCTTTTCATTCAGGTTATTTCCTCAATCTCTCATGTCTACATTTTTAAGGGAACAGAGAATGACATGCAATCAGTTAACTAGTTGTCATTCCGTGTCATTAACAACAGTTATCTACCGCTTAAACAAATCACTGTAGGTGTCAATGGCTACCCTGAAATAATACTATATCCGACATACGGATACTGTGTATAATAATGCGTCAGGATCATCGAGCGTCTGGATAGGTATACTGAATATTCCGATATGTGCGAAGAAATATAAGATTGGCACCAGTCTATACCAGTGATTGATTAATCATCTTCGACAATGCTTGACAAATAAAGTTGTGGCGAATTGTGTGACCAATTTATTTCAATGATTTTCACGAGGAGATAATACACACAGACATCCATATTATTAATGATATAAATGCACAAATATTTATTCTACTCAACAGAAGCTCAACATGAAGATCGTTGTTTAATGAGACAAAAGAAGTGAAATAATTTGATACAAATATCACAACTAGCACCAAAAGGGTCGTGGTCGTTCATAATCAGTACGAGAAGAGTCATCGTCATACGAGATACACAGAAACATACCAATCCAGATAATTCCGTTGTAATTGACATGAAGGCTGTTAGCCATGATGCGGAATGTTTTAAGACTGAATGCTGAATATCACTAGTTTGTGTGTTCAAACGAAACTTAGTCGTGATTAGTACTAGCTGATGGAATTCGGACTATGTAAGATTACGTCTGTATCAAACTGAAACACATTTGCATGTTGTGCGCTGAGTCGATTGGTCAGAAGTTTTCAACAAATAATTATCAACCCAAACACCCACTGTTTGATTTCACCGAACATTGAGGCTGGTAGAATTACTAAGTCTGTGAATAAAATATACTTAGAATCAGTACACTAATTGTTGAAGATTGAGACTTCCCTGGGTGTATCTTGATGGGGATAAAAAGATATCGACTTTTCTCGAAAGTGGATTATGGATATTCGTCCTTGGACCTCTACAGAAATTTGATTCAGTAGTGTGTCTTATCTCCATAAAGTAATATATGTACCCAGGTTCGAAAGTATCTTTCTGAATTATCCCTGATTTAGTCAGAACAAGTTGTATGTGCGAGTTCATACTCCATACTCGTATTTCAAGATTCTCCCTTCTGCCTTACTCTACTCTCTCCTCCATTTAATAATTTCGTTTAACTCCGCAAAGAACCTGATTATTTCGAAAGATAGTATCACAGATGTCAAAATCCATTAGGCTTTCCTATGCTTTACATTGAAAAAATTATTTGTGTATAAAAAAAAATTAATTCAATAGGCCACATATCCATCATCGTAGTGACTGTCGACGAAATTCTTTCTAACTAAGATAGTCATATTCACTGAAAAAAATACACAAATATTGAAGCTGCCTGAACAGCTGTTTAACGTCTTATCTGTAAACGAATGACAAATTGATTTAATGCCACCGTCTGGGATGGTTGATTCAATTTCGTTGTTTATCGTCTTCAAGTATGTGCAAATATGGAATTATTAGTCTTACTTTCAGTAAATAATATAATTTCGCTTATATGTTAGCGATACGTATCACTCACTGTTATTAGTAAGGATTGGTTTTTGTAGTTGAATACTGATCTTGTATCGGTTTTCTTGATCTGAGGCTAGTGGAAGGCATTGATAATAGAATGTGGAGATAATCAGGTGGAATGATTGGTTGAAAAGCACTCACAGGTGGACCACTTGAGATGGAAATTTTTCGCAACAAAATTGATGTGGTATGTTTTTACTCACAGTGAATTTAACCACCGAAATAATCGGCACTTTTGAACCTATCACTTAACTGCTGGGTATGCGGATAATTCAAATTGAGCTACTTGAAACAACACTCTAAAGTGTTTTCCTCCGTAGATGCATAGATCCGACAGTGTTTGTATGAAAATTAAACCGAATACATTTTTTGTTACAGCAATTCACGTGATCCTAGTGAAATCCTGTTTTAGATCAATCTATAAATGCACGAAGGTACCTGAAAGGTCCAGTGCACTTGTCAACCACATAAGAAGATCTAGGCATACGTATCATACTATGGTAATCATTATTTGATTGTATTGCCAACAGCAGAATAAATCATTACTATTGGCATTCTAGTTTATTCATACTGGCGTTTCATACATTCACTCTGCACATCAGTTGATGCAACAGATGAATTTATATATATATATATGGTTTGACTGTAGATAATGTGTTGACCAGGTACTTCAGTCACATTTTCACATAAGCACCGTAATCTGGTTCCGCTATGGAAATCGACTTCAAATAGGCTTTTATCTCAAGCTGACATCAGTTTGAGAATCAAGCACTGAGGAGGGAGGGAGAGAGAGAAGGAGACGCTTCAGCAATAGGCACCCACGATATCAGTGACTGAATACTGTTATCTTCTTCAGATTCATAGGCACATACCGTTAAAGCGTGTGGGACTAAGACTCAACACTAATTTAGTACTCCCTGATTCCCAATCGACTTTTAAATCATGTCAATTAGTCATGAGATCCAACTTAAAATCAATCAAATCCCTAGAAACTAAACATTCAAACATTGAATGTATACATGGCAATCATGAATTAACTAGAACAAAACCTTTCGATATAATAAATTGAAACATCCTCAGTTGGAACAATCACTGACATCAACCTGTTTATTTATTTAATAATTTATTATTAGCCTAGCTAATTGAGAACTTCAAAATCCAATTTCATTACTAACATATTATCCTGAGTCCTCACCTAAGTCTTCTGGTTCTATGCTGTTACACATTGGTGAAAAGTAGAATTAACATAAAGGAAATAGTGAAGACATACAAAGACTTTCATTTGTCTTATAGCAGTCTCATCATAGTCCATGACAAAATCACAGAAGGGAGTTAGGGATAAATACGACTGACGAAAACAGTCTTTAATCTAAGTGAAATAATCACTTTTCGTAACTTGTATCTTTGATTTCATGACTCGAGAAGCGAGATCGAAACATTAAACACACAAACTTAGATATGATAGAGAGGATCTGTAGCTCAGGTGGATGATTTTGATGTGATTGTGTTCTCTGAGCTGGATAGTTAATTTGCGAAGCTTTCATCGCTCTACTAGGCGACCCAAACTATTCAGCTTTATTCAGTCTTAAGAGCTAATGTTTAAGTGAACGAATGACGGTCACTGAAAGAATAAGTGTTCTTTTCCACAGATATTTGAATGACAGGTGTCGATGTCTTGGTTTAAAATCAGCAAATGATCTACCTTTATACGCCTGAATATATGTCATCAAAACTGAAGACAAATGCTAAACGACTGATTACTGAATCGGGTAGAACCATGAAAAGTTTCCACAAGCATCTTCAAATCCAATTCTTTTGAATTATTATTTCACAGCTTTAATAAATATATCTTCAGTCATTTCTTTCTACGGAATCCAGGATATGATGAAGTCTTATGTGAGTAAAGTGTACTTTTGATGTGGTTGTATTCTCTGAGCTCAATGTCATTCACATGAGCTACAAGTTTTCTCTATCATATCTAAAGTGTACTTCACTTATTGTTAAATATAATCGAGTTTATGAATTGTTTAACCATAGCAGCGTTCACATATTATAATAATAATGACATTTGTAGCCTATTCGCAGTGAGTATTCATTTCCATATCGCTATCACGTGAAACATATTTCATATCTCTTTATAGCATAAAACAGCATAGCTGTTTTTATTTCCTCAAGCAAATAGAATTTACTCATGGTTGAAGCACAGTCACCTACAAGTCTGTTCGATTACGAACCACTTCAGACCACTTATTTGAAGCAAAGGGAAGGTGAATGGATTTTGACAAATGTGATACTATCTATCGAAATAATCAGGTTAACGATATTATTGAATGTAGGGTAGAGTACAGTAAGACAGCAGGAAGAATCTTGAAATACGAGTATGGAGTATGAATTCGCACATACAACTTGTTCTGACTAAATCAGGGATAATTCAGAAAGACACTTTCGAACCTGGGTACATATATTACTTCATGGAGATAAGACACACTACTGAATCAAATCTCTGTAGAGGTCCAAGGACAAATACCCATGTGCCATTCTCGAGAAAAATCCATAACTTTGTATCCCTATCAAGATACGACTACATTCGAATCAACGAGAAGTACCTCACAATCCACATGAAAATTATTCCAATCGTCGGAGTTATCGCTCGCCAACCGACACAATCGTTTCACCGAACCCTGGACAGCTTCTAAACATCAAACACTGAAAAACACGAGGGAAGACTCAATCTACAATAACTAGTGTACTGATTCTCACTATGTTTTACTCATGGACTTGGTAATTCTAACAAAATCACTGTGCGTGACTTAATCAGTGAAATAAAACGGTGAGTGGTTGGGTTGATAACTATTTGTCAGACATTTTTGACTAATCGACACAGCGCACAACCTCACATAGTCCACATCCCATCAGTTAATTCCAGTCACGACTTCAATTCGTTTGAACGCACAAACTAGTGATATTCAGCTTTCAGTCTTAAAACATTTCACATCATTTCTAAACGCATTGATGTCTAAAACAACCTAATTATCTGGATTGGTATGTTTCTGTTCATTTTGAGTGACAATGATTCCTCTCGAATCTGCTTCCAAAGTGACTGTGAATGACCACGACCCTTTTCGCGTTAGTTGAGATATTTATATCGAACTACATCACTCCTTGTTGTCTCATTAAACAACGATCTTCATGTTGTGCTTCTGCTGAGTAGTATAATACGTGTGTGCATTTATTTCATTTATGATATGGGAGTCTGAGCGTATTGTCTGCTCGTCGAATGCATTGGAATAAATTGGTCATATTCATTAATACAACTCTTATTTGTCAAGCTTTGTCGAAGGTGGTTAGTCACTTACTGGTATAGACTGGTCTGTCAGTCTTATATATTTCTTCGTACATGTAGGAATATACAGTCTACCTAACCAGGTGCCTCATAATTCTGACGCAATAATATACAGGGAATCTGTTTGTCGGATGTTTTTTTTTCATTTCAGGGTACGCATTGACACCTACAGTGATTTATTTAACTTGCTGGATAACAGCTTTTAATGACACTGAATTACCACTATTTTACTGGTTACAAGACATATCTCTCTACCCATAAAAAATATAGACATGAGAGAATAATGCAATTGCCTGGAAAGTAATAAATGAAGTACTGGTAGAAATATAAATATGGCGTAATTATATTGCTTAACCTCGCCAGATACTAGCTTGCTAGACTCCTAGCTTACTAGTTTTCTAGTCGGTCCCAAGCCCGGGTAAAGAGGGAGGGTTGGGGCTTGGTGATAGCAACTCCGCCCCTGTAAAACAACCAAATCGCTACAGAAACTTCAACGAATAAATATATGAAAAATTCTGAAAACATAAACCATAGCCTTATCGACACTCTATTCTTATGACATTAAATCATACTTCAATTTGAAGTATACGCTGAAGATGTCACCTAGTAGGGTGATGACAGCTTCACAAATCAACCATCCAGCTGAGAGAACACATCCACATGAAAATCAAATCATGTTTTCTTGATATTTCTAAGTGTTTCAATAACTTACAAGAATACTGGTGTTCGAAAATGCTGAAATGAACTCAGCTGTCATTGAGTTTTCGTTAATAAACATGCTCACAACAGAAATTTTAGCTCCCTCTGGCTTTTTCAGTTAGGTGTAAAACTATCCTTATAATTTTACAAGCGATTTGTCCAGTCTAAATTTAAGGATAAGATACTGCTTCTGACGACATCAGTGAGCAATAACCAGTTAACTTGTTAGTGTGGAGCAAACGATATTGGCCTTAGCAACGTCAAGTCCGCAAACATGTTCCAGAACACTACCCAGCTTGGCTAGCTAGAGGAGAAAACAAGAATACTAGCGGCCTAATCCTAGAATATCTTTTCAGCTCTGGACATCGAACAACCTCAAATGAATGCTTCACATTGTTACAAAAAATCCCTCGATATCGTATGGAATGACTTCGAACATGCCATCTGCACATAGCTGAATTATCGGCTATTCAGGATCTGGAACCAGACCTGTGCATTCAAAAGCGCTACATAAACTCACTCGCCATACCGTGGCCAGAGTAAACTTCTTACTATAATTTTGCTTCTTTTCATTATGTGAGTTTATTAGTATTTTTGTTATTAATAATTTCAAAAGACGGTTGCAGGGGAGAAAATTATCTTTTCGACGAAGACATCAACTAGGCTCTACATTCGTGTATTTATAATAAGTGGTAAGGTAAGTTCCAGAATAATTTCAAGTCAGAGTCAAATTAACGAAATTACAATTAGGTATTAAAATGCCGTAGTAACCCAGGGGAAGGGTAAAACAAAAAAATCAGCAGCATAATTACTGAGAAGATTGACATTTTGTGCAATTAGGGGTTGGAAATGTAAATATAACAAAAAGTGGCAGGATGTTGAGATGAATATTCTAGTGGGATCATAACTAATGTGACAAATAACTCTTCATGCAATTAGGGATTGAAAATGTAGAAATAATAAAGTGAACAAATAGACAGTAAGTTTGGATGTGATAATATGGTAGTGTAAATATGGATGAAGAAATACCTGAGAGCAACATGAATAAACAAGAAGTCTGCATAACAAAGGCAATGGGATAGTCACTATTAAAAGAATTACCTGTTTATGATGATCATAGCATGGACAAGGGTTGGACGTATTTCTTTTGCAAACATAGTGTGGGTTTGAGCTTCTGTAGGGCAGTTGCCTTGGCCATTCCCAGATGTCTAAATTCCACTCCCTTTGATAAGTTTGATCGAAACTTTTGTATTATTTTGAAGGATTTTTCGAATGGCGCTGAATGTCCTGAATTGACCAGAGGTTCTGTCACTGAACTATGTACTCGTTTTCATTCTCCTTTAACTAGCCAGGCAGGATAGTATTCGCGAGTGCGTTTTCCAAGTTGGTGCATTGTACGACCGATGTACTTAGCTCCACATGAGCAACTAAACTGATATACTCACACTGAAGCTTCCTAATGCGACAGCTTTTCTTTCGCATTCTGGCTGAACAGGTTCTTGCAGGAAGACGTTAGTCGTAGGCTTGCGGTGAAGCAGGTTTTTTTCCTCAGAGAATCACAGAGGCATTTACAAAGGATTCCTGCTTCAGTGTTACCTTTGAATTGTAGATTAAGCAGAAGTATCTTCTTCGGGACGGTTTGAACTTCTCCGGAAGTCTTCTTTGACTTGACTTTGGGCGGGAGACCGTTTCCCATCAGGGTTCCTCAGAGATTACGCTATCATTCTCATTATCCATATTTTATTACCACATTATTTCTGTTTATTAATAACTTTGTGTTTTCTCATACCTGTGTTGTTATGCCGTTTTCTGCCTCTTCTCTAACTTCCAGTTTGCATCCATTCTAATATACATGTCACTTTGCCTTATACGTTTTCCATGGACGAATTTTATCAGCATCTGATATCTTTGTTTAGTATAATTACGATTGTAAAGCTCATAAAAACGAATCGTCGAGAGAAAATTTTCTCCCCCTTTTGCGTCTTTTTTATACGATTCGATATGGGAGTAATTCGTTCAATAAAAAAGCAACTTTTACCGTTAATCAACACATAAAAGAAGTTGAACAAGCGTAATAAAGTAAGCTGATAAGGTGAACAGTTTACTGAGTAAGTTGTCATTAGGATTCACACAGGAACGAGGGAAAATATGCAATTATGTAAGAATTCAGAAAACTTAGAAATGCTGTAGTGATATTCTGGAACGGGTAAGGAAACATCTATGCATATACTCGCTTCGTGATATCTTGCAATTCGTATACTGTATACAAGATATGAATGTTAATAAGAAAAGTATGTTATCTGTCCACATTGAATCACTGATCACCAATATCCCACTTATAGAAACTGTTTGATTTATATGTAAATGGAAAAGACGACAACTAGTTCAACAATGGAATACCTACAACATGTCTGAAAGAAATGTCATTCAGGTGCACTCTCACTGTACAATTTACTTTCAATGTCACAATCTACAGACAAAGGGACAGTATTTCATTGTTGGCCATCATCACCCAGAAATAACATCACGTTAAACTCCAGACGACGCGGAAGCGTCAGGTAATAGGATACGTTATCTTAAAATGAACCGGACATTTCGGTTAAAAATAAGCAACCAATCAAATTCATTGTCTAAACAAAAAAACCAAAACAGGAGATGAATAACAACACGGTTCGCTGATAATCACCTTCAGAGAGTTCCAATGTTCTTCCACGCATGATTTTTTCCGTGATGTCACGTAGTGTTTACTGCTTTGCTCTGACAGTTGCAGTGAAAGTGTCCTTTGCGGTTGTGTCCTTCAGTAATTGAGAGTTGAACTTGTGGTCTATTGTGGCCTATCCTCAGCTATCCTCGAGGCTTTTAGCTTCACCTTGAAAGTCCCTTGTGCTAGATAGTGAGCTGAACACACATCTGCTCCTCTCCTCGACCTTGTTCAGTAGGCCCCGTCTCCACTTTCATGAATTTGAGATGAAGCCTATTTGATTCTTGATGTTTCCGTCTGGTGAAATCCATGTCGTCTTGTGTATATCCTTGTGTTTGAACACACTGCCACCAATCACCAAATCATTGAAGGCGCAAAAGTATGAGAAGAGTTCACCATTGCCGTTCATTTTACCCACGACCCATGCTGAGTTCTCTTCCGGTGTTGTCTCCTCCCAGCTTCACATTCATATTCGCATTCACTTTTAAACATTAAATCCAAAGCGGGAGATGAATAACAACACGTGTCGTTACACGCCTACAGCACATAGACATTTAGTAAAAATCAATGGATTACGATATTATTGAATGTAGGGTAGAGTACAGTAAGACAGCAGGAAGAATCTTGAAATACGAGTATGGAGTATGAATTCGCACATACAACTTGTTCTGACTAAATCAGGGATAATTCAGAAAGACACTTTCGAACCTGGGTACATATATTACTTCATGGAGATAAGACACACTACTGAATCAAATCTCTCTAGAGGTCCAAGGACAAATACCCATGTGCCATTCTCGAGAAAAATCCATAACTTTGTATCCCTATCAAGATACGGCTACATTCGAATCAGCGAGAAGTACCTCACAATCCACATGAAAATTATTCCAATCGTCGGAGTTACCGCTCGCCAACCGACACAATCGTTTCACCGAACCCTGGACAGCTTCTAAACATCAAACACTGAAAAACACGAGGGAAGACTCAATCTGCAATAACTAGTGTACTGATTCTCACTATGTTTTACTCATGGACTTGGTAATTCTAACAAAATCACTGTGCGTGACTTAATCAGTGAAATAAAACGGTGAGTGGTTGGGTTGATAACTATTTGTCAGACATTTTTGACTAATCGACACAGCGCACAACCTCACATAGTCCACATCCCATCAGTTAATTCCAGTCACGACTTCAATTCGTTTGAACGCACAAACTAGTGATATTCAGCTTTCAGTCTTAAAACATTTCACATCATTTCTAAACGCATTGATGTCTAAAACAACCTAATTATCTGGATTGGTATGTTTCTGTTCATTTTGAGTGACAATGATTCCTCTCGAATCTGCTTCCAAAGTGACTGTGAATGACCACGACCCTTTTCGCGTTAGTTGAAATATTTATATTGAACTACATCACTCCTTGTTGTCTCATTAAACAACGATCTTCATGTTGTGCTTCTGCTGAGTAGTATAATACGTGTGTGCATTTATTTCATTTATGATATGGGAGTCTGAGCGTATTGTCTGCTCGTCGAATGCATTGGAATAAATTGGTCATATTTATTAATACAACTCTTATTTGTCAAGCTTTGTCGAAGGTGGTTAGTCACTTACTGGTATAGACTGGTCTGTCAGTCTTATATATTTCTTCGTACATGTAGGAATATACAGTCTACCTAACCAGGTGCCTCATAATTCTGACGCAATAATATACAGGGAATCTGTTTGTCGGATGTTTTTTTTTCATTTCAGGGTACGCATTGA